GTCGTGGTCGCGCCTCGCCCTGTCGCTGCCTCGCTGGAGGCGTTCAAACCGTTCGCAATATTCCCCGCTTAAAGCGTCGCAGAACCCGGTAGTTAGGCTGATTTTCGCCGGCGCCCTCATCTTTCCCTCGGGAGCCGGAGCTCAAGAGGTGGTTAGGGATGGGAGGGAACAGCCCGGGTTTCGGTCTTCCTCTGAGGCAAAGGCTCGGAGCTGCCGCGGCCTCCAGGTCCCCGTCGAGCGGGAGCGGCTCTAACCCCGGCACCTGGCGAGGATCCCGCTCCCCGAGTGCTGCCGCATGGGCCCCTCTACTCGCACACCTCTTTGCTCTCCCCCCCCCGGCTCTGCCTGTTCCTGGCGTAGGAGGGGAAAAAGAAAGGTTCGAAGGGTTGAGAAAGCTGCGGCAGGGGTGGACCCCGCCGTCCCGGGTGGAAATGCTGCCCCTGCATCCTACTGTCCCGTAAATCGTGTGTCCTCCACCACCCCAAACCCTAATTTCACACCCCCAGGGCTGCGCTGGAGAATTATCCCTTTGTTCTTCCCGGCCGCCACCGAAACGCGTCGAAATCCAGCAGTACCCGAGGAGGAGGGGGAAAAAAAAAAACACCACACCGACAAAACACCAAAACACTGCAACCACACTGCAGTAGGAAGAACTTCATTTCACCCAGCAATGCTACGGCCCCCCTGAGCCGTGTTTTATAATCACAGTCTTAAGTGGTTTGAAATAAGGAGAGCCGAAAGCACAATGTTCCCTCGCTGTGCCTCTGAGTGAAATGTCCTCGCATCTCTGGGTCACCCCATGGAAATAAGATCGCTCCCCAGGAACGTCTTAATCCAACAGAGGGAGAATTGAATCAGATTTTTTAATAGCAGTCCATTAGACTGCATTTCTCCCTGTCATATCATCTCCTTCTGACAGAGACGGTACACAGAGGCTCCTGAAATTGTGGGTGGGTTTTCAGTGGTGGGTAAATAGCTGATGTCTAAATATAGACCTAGGAGCGATAGAAATTGTGTTTGAAATATATGTTGAGCTGCTGAAAAATGAGATCCTCCTATGTAACCTAACAGGCGTATCGGAGGCAGACCCGCAATGATACGGGAGCTTGGCTCGCGTCGATATGATTATCGTAAAGTATATTGAAGACATACAATTAGATGGATGCGGATCACCCAGATGAAGTGATACAAAGGTATGTGAGGGAGGGGTGGCATCACCGGCGCGGAGGAGCCTCGGCTGGGCCAGACGTGGAGTCTGTCGGACAGGCTTATCGCAACCGCCGCTCTTGTCTGGGGCGAGCCGCTTTCCTGGAAAAAAATGGGCTTCCCCCCCCCCCCCCAAAAAAAAAAAATTACTATTTTGTCAAGGTGTTACCGTTTCACAGAAATACCTCGCTTCCAGGGCCAGGGTTGTGAGAAAGGTTTCTGGAGGCTGGGATGGCATTGACTGAGGAAGGAGACCCAGCCCACAGCATGCTTTGGGGAGCCGAAGTTCCCAGTTTCCAATAAAAAAAAAAAACAAACCCCAAAACGTCATTTTAGCCTGGACGCACCCGCGTCCCATGCGGATACCCCTCCCCACCAGCTCCCCTCCTGCATGTCCCGTGGCGTCTGTCAGAGCATCACAGAGGAGCTGAGGGATCACTCCTCAGCTAGGTAAGATGAAACTGAGGTGGGGGGGGGGAAAAAAAACCCCTATTTTGCCATATTTCAGCTTCGTCTCTGAGGTTACATCTGGTAAAACCTGGCACGGCTCCACTGGCTTGAGAGGAAATGCATCACTTTAAACAGCTAGTGATAGAGACTTCTATCTGCCAAGGTCCTAACCGCTTCCTCGTGCTGCCTCGCGTTGGGAGAGAAACACAGAAATTAAAATTCCTCAGCTGATGAGTCACGGCTTAAAAGACACCTTGGGGGAGCGCTGGGCCACATCACGGCAGGGACGGGCCCTCCCGACGGACATTTAATCTGATTTGGGTCCTCCTAACCCGCTCCTTCCGAGGGAGGACTCTTCTCCTCCTGGATTTTTCCACCTCCGCGTCAGTCGCCGTCGACACGGATCTCTGCAGCGCCGGGTTCGGCGGCACCGGTGCGTTTTGGAGCGGGTTTTGGCACTGAAGAGGCAACGCAGCACCTGAACCCAGCCCTTTGTCAGGCCATGAGAAACGACCTGGCGTAAGCAGGAATCTCTCCCCAGGCCCAGGCTAGATAAAGAGCGCTCTGTCTGCGCTTATATATATGTGTATGAATAATTAAGGTGCCAGATGGCCCTTGAGCCCCGGGTCTAGATTTAAATGTCTAATTACATTTGGTGTCCGTGGGAGTTGGGTATCCAGGTCCCTCTGCGGAGCTGGACTCATCCCGGAGGATACTTGGGTATTGCAGACCCAAAGAAACTTGCCGTTTTCCCGGAAAAACCTTTCTCTAGGGGTTTAACTGTGCGTCTTCTTTTCAAAACCTGGCTGGAGCCGATCGCAGAGGAACAGGTCACTCTGATGGAGGCGGAGAAGCAAAGAGAGCTCCCTGGCAGGATCCCAAAGCCCCCGCTCCCAGCCCCGCTGATCGACACGGGTAGAAGGCTTGCGAGCAGCTCGGCTGGGGAGGCGTTTGCTTGTTTGCAGTTTTGCATTCAGACAAGCTGCCTTTCTTCCTGGAGCTGCGCTCGTATCCCAGCTGGCCATTAGAGACATCGAAATACATTAGCTTCACTTAGGCGAGGCCACAAGAGCCCTCCCGGGACCCGAGCTGCCAGCCCAGAAGTGAGCTGTCGTGCACTCTGACCCGGAGAGGAGGCGAAAGCTTCCCCCGAACGGTCGCTGCAATTCTCGCGACGATCTCCGCAGCGGCCCAGACCTCGCCTTCGCCAGCAGAAAGAA